CTTATGTCAACAGTTGGATCAAACCACACGAGCACGCTGCAAGACTGGCTTCGCTTCTTCAGATCTCCACCAGCTCTTTCCATCTTCCCCCGGAAAGGAGTATTTTTCCATGCTATGCGCCTTCATCTGCACACTATACCCAGGCTCCATGGGTGTAACGTAATACCCGTTCCGCACCCGAGCCGGATATTCGAAATGCTCATGTAAGTGGTCCACATACTCCAGCACACTCTTCTTCCCCGTCATCACTACATAGTCAATCGTACTCAAATGCTGGGTGTACTCCGGCAGGCCTACGCCTCCTGAATGGGGCACGACAGGGACACCAAATTTACGAGCCAGTAGTAGGATGGCTAGGCATTCGTTGACGCCGCCAACTCGGCATGCATCCGGCTGGACGACCGAGAGAGCGCCTGACTGGAGAAATTGTTTAAACATCACACGATTTTGGCACATTTCTCCAGTTGCGACACCAATGGCGCCGTGAGGCGTGTCTTGAAGGGCTTCACGGATGGCTGCATGGCCTAGAATGTCGTCTGGAGAAGTGGGCTCTTCGATAAACCACGGCTTGAACTGCGCAAGCTCCTTCATATGGGAGATGGCCTCGGGAACTGACCACACCTAAACGCACAGTTAATAACTCTGGAATGATGACTATCAATCTGGCTTGACCATATACTTCTGAGTCGTAGGACTGTTGCTTTGTATAAATGTGCAGTTCGCTTATTTAGGCGAAAGGTCATCCGTATAGGGCAAATGGTCTTGACAAGAAAACATGACAAAAAATGGGTTGACATACCTGATTGGCATCGATCATCAGAACATTTCCCTTGTCGTATCCAATGGCATCCCGAGCGATCGCCAATCGCCGTTTATCCATGTCCAGGTCTCCGCCAACTTTCAGTTTGAAATAACGGTACCCATCCTGGACACTCTTCTCAAGCAGGCTCTTCACCTTCTCCTCATTGTAGCCGAGCCAGCCAGCACTGGTCGTATATGCCGGAACTGCTTGGTTACTTTCCGCCTCCTCAATTCTCTGCCTCTTGTCAGGCTCCACCTCCCGAAGTAACTTGATGGCTTCCTCAGGTGTAAGGGCGTCAGTAATGTATCTAAAGTCAATGCATTTCACCACTTCTTCGGGCGTCATGTCCGCGACAACCCTCCAGACAGGCTTGTTGAGGGTCTTTGCCCATAGATCCCACAGAGCATTGACGATGGCTCCGAGCGCAAGGTGGATGACGCCCTTTTCAGGGCCGATCCATCTTAGTTGGCTGTCTGACACCAGATAGCGCCATGTCTTGCCCCAATCAGCGGTTAGAGATTCAAGCTCTTTTCCAACCAGTAGTGTTGCCAGCGCATCAATGGCCGTGCAAACAATCTCATTACCTCGGCCGATGGTAAAAGTCTTTACGGGCGATATTTTCTAGTCAGCCTGCAGGAGCGGAACATGAAAAAAAGGCAAAAAAGCAAAGGGTAGACCCGACGGTTTGGGTGAGTGATCAGAGCTGAGAGGCAATGACAAGTCAAGGCGCTATTATTTTGCTGTACAGGACAAGGTGGCCACATACATACCATGCCATGACCTGTGTGGGTCGAGTCAGTCTGTAGCACGCAGTAGGCGGCCGAGTAGTCAGTAGCTGCATTCATAGCATCGGAGCCAGTGTTGTCCAGCGATGTCTAAGAGTAATTCCCAATGGTCAGGCGCAACTCATTAGCGAAGGAACACTATAGGACAAGGCCATAAGGCACGGAGTAGATACGGAGGATTCCGTCGTGAGTAAAGGGAGATCCTTTCCCGGCCCCCAGAAAGAAAGCAACAAGTACGGAGTAAAAGGCATAGTAACATACAGGGAAGCGCACATCGTGCGAAGTGAAGCCCGTGATCTTCATGCTGGTCGTCTCGTCTCGAAAGCTGCGTATGCGGCTGTGGGATTTGCTGTTGATGCGCTCTGTTTGAACTACTGCAAGATCCCTCTGGGTGATCGAAGATTTGGCTCCTTTTTTTGCGCTTGATGCTATCTCAGATGTGGAAAATGGTGCGGCAGAGATGCGACCTGTCACCTTTTCTGGTTTCTCGGCCAGCTCGTAAGTTAGTTATATAAGTAAGCGGGCGCTAAACGGTGGAGAGATGTCCGGTGGCTTCTGGGTCCTTGCGCTGCCCAGGGAAGCCAAAGCAAGGCCTAAGGCAAAGCCTAGCAAGGGCCTGCAGAGGCGGGGAGGAGGGGAAAAGCCCGGGAAAAGGCCCGGCAAGAGCAAGGCCGGTTAAGGCCAGTTAAAAATGGTCTCTAGTTCGAAGACTCGGGCTCGGTAGAGGCAAGGTAAATCAGTTAAAGCCTAGGTAAAGGTTAGTGAACGGATGCCTCTAATTAAAGAAACAGAAACATTGGACCCATAGACATACTTATATATAGACATCCCTTCAGCTGTTGGCCCCCTTTTCATAGCAGCATTGCTTTATAAATGTCTCAACGCGGCATTTCCCCTGGTTCCTTGGTCTTTCTGTGGCCGCGTTGCATCCTTGAAGCAGCCGTGTTGCATGCATCTGCATCTAGTACCAGCACCAGCACCCATGTTGAGGTCAGGATCGTACTCCGTATGCTGTCAAATTAACTGAGAAAAGCATAAAAACACTCGCCCGCCGGCCGTCTGCAGCACGACGTAATATGCTCAATAATCCGTACCGATGGTCATCCATTGGCTGCGGTGGCTGCTCCCGATGCAGACCATCTCCAGGACGCCAGACGGTGGAGCTTTGACTGGGAACGAGGCGAGACTCTTCCAAGCAGTTAAGTTAACAGCGAAGCCACTCTGATATGCATGCTGGCAGGCCAAGTTTTTTCGTGCATGCAAGCCCTGCAAGGCCAGCAAGCCGGGTAGTGAAGCGAATATATCGGGGTGTCAAAGGGTGAAAGTTGAAAAAGACTTCGCGATGTATTTTTGATGGCCCGGTACATTGCCTAATAGGGCAATCATTTGCATATCAACGATTTCCGAAGCGCTGCGCTCCTAGTGGCCAGTTAATTGTTTTTTGTCCAGCCTTCTTGGCCAATCAACAACTATTACTAGTGGCTCATTACTAAAAATAGGGGCATAATTAAGGATGATTAGTCATATCACATCTTAAGTTGACATCCTAAGCATTTAAGGGGCATTAAGGGGCTGTGAAATCATTATTAGTTAACGGTTAATATGCCCGCAGCTCCACGGAAACCGGGGCCTTATTTTGGAAGAATGTTATAAGAATGGCCTCTAGTTGGTTAATCGATGTGTAAACCGAATCCTGAGGTAGATGCTGGTCCTGTTCCCCTGGAAGAATAACCCTTGAATAGGCGACGAAGATCCCAGGTAGAGCATGGGGTTCCTGAACAAATTCCATGGTGGAAGGGATCAACCGCCAGCAACAGGTTGCATCCTAGATAAACCTGGGTGTGCTCTGCACAATAATATAGGGGTGACTATATACCCCTGAAGGTCCACTGTGACTGCTGCAGGGACGAGACCCGAATAGTTCATGCTCTAAGGCTGTAGTATCTAAGTAGTTCGTTCGTATTAGGATTGCTGAATGCCAGGCGCCCATGAGCATGGTCAACAGACGGACAGAGGAAGTAAGTCAGACAAAGAGACTATACTTCCATCCATGAATATTTTGCGAAGGAAATTCATGGTTAACGCTCGGAGGGGTCTCTTGCATCCACTTTCATGCTATTGTACGTAGTAATCTCCGGCTACAACGCGGTCAGGCCCCTAATGTATTTCTTCTCAGGGGAGACTGGCCCTAGGGGTAACTAACCCGCCCAAGCTGGCTCTGTCCTAGCCACCAGTCTCGCGATAGATAATTCGTCGCCCGAACATGACCATCTTCTGCCTCAAAAAGCGAGCCGATCTCTTGGAGACGGAACTGTGAACGCGCCGCCACGTTATGAGCCGAGTTGAGATAAGACCTTTATATTTTCTTAGGGGGCATGGCCGGTCCCTGTGGTTCCCGCCTTGTAAGGACCTTATGCGGAGCCCTTAGCTTTAATACCTAAAATGAACGGAACGCTGACGCTATTATTGCCTCTCCAGGAGCTCTTTGGACGGGTATGACCGAATGTGATATGGTACTCGGAGCCGCCTCGCTTGCCAATATTTTTTGGGGTCGTTTCAGGGGAATCGATTGCATCACGACGAAACCTGCGTAGAGAAAGATCTTGGCACACATTTTGTCTTATTGATCTCGTGCCACAGGATGCGCTGGAGCAATGGAGATGACGCGTTGAGTCAGTAACTCGAGCATGAAGGTCCGGAGAACGGAACATGGCTGCATCGAGCAGAAGATCCGTCCCAAATACCAGGAACCAGCTTGTCAGAGCATCAAATGGCCACAAGTGGTGCAAGAGATACGGAGTACTAACATCACCAAAAAAAAAAAGGAGGCTAAAGCCTTCTTGCTTTTCTCGTGTATAACTGCGATGTTATGGCGAATTATTAATATGGCGTGGGTTAAGTCCTTTCCGAATAATTTGATACTAAGGCTTGGGAAAACAAATGAATAAATATAGATTAGCTAATACGAAAGAGTGGAGCCATATTAAGGTTTAAGTGAAGGTCCAAGCGGAGAGTCCCGTCTATAATGAGACACGCTAGCGGAGGCGCTAACCCCGATAGGGAACGCTTTACGAAGCGCCTCGACCGGGGAATTTGGTCGAAGTCGAGGGTACGGAGTAACCTGCATCCAAGTTGAACCCATGCATATACGCCAGACTCCGTTCCCTGAGCTACTACCTGTTCAGGTGACGGGGTGGGGGGGGTGGAAGATGCATGCCAACGGGCAAGCAGCCGCTGTGCTGCTCGGTCGAGCAATTGGGCGACCTCCTTAAATACCAGGCATGGTCTATGCTAGGAAATCACTTTTCTTCACCCATATTCCAGCTCCCCATGACATTTGTCTTCTTCCTGCAGTTAATAGCGATTGTGTTGTCGTTTGATTCTTTATTTTTATTTTGTTTTCTCCTTGAAGCATGGGCTCCTGCATAAGCCGTCAGCTACCTGAGGATCAGGAGCGCCGAAGACCCCGACTATTAACCAAGTGGAAGCAACGCCGAGCACTGAAGAAAGCCGAACGGCATTTTAGAAGGGCTAGCCCGACGTTTGAGGAGACGAAGGAGATCGATACCCTGCGTGCAACAGAGTACACACCCTTGAAGGACCATGTGTATCTAGACTATACTGGCGCAGGCTTGTACGGTGAGAAGCAGCTCCGAACACACTTCGACCTGCTTCGGTCCAGCATCTACAGCGATTCCAGCTCGACTTCGAACGCAGCTGCAATCCAGCGAATCAGAGAACACGTCCTTTCATTCTTCCGGGCCTCTCCGGACGAGTATGAGCTCATCTTCACAGCCAACGCATCCCATGCCCTTAAGCTGGTAGGAGAATCTTACCCATTTACGCCACAAGGCGAACTGCTCCTCTTGTGGGACAACCACAATTCTGTTCAGGGACTTCGGGAATTTGCCCGTGGCAAGGGAACACCCATCACCCATGTACCTGTTATGCCACCGAATCTGAATATAGATGAGGCGTTCCTAAAAAAATCGATCTGCACCAGCTCCGATAGCCATCGACTTTTTGCATATCCTGCCCAATCAAATTTCAGCGGTGTCCAGCATTCGTTGAAATGGATTGAAGAAGCCCAAGCTCATGGATGGGATGTTGTCCTAGACGCTGCCAGCTTTGTTCCGGCAAATCGTCTAGACTTGTCCCAATGGCATCCCGATTTTGTCCCAATTTCGTTTTACAAGATGTTTGGGTATCCCTCTGGTATCGGCTGTCTGATAGCTCGCAAACAGACGTTGGCGAAACTCCAGCGCCCATGGGTATCAAGTGGAAAAGTCCCTACCATGACCATGAATTTGCTTGATAGCACCGACAGCTCTGACGGGGACCAGAACCTGGTTGTGGCTCGGAAGTGGCACGAGGTATTCGAAGATGGTAGTGTCGACTTCTTCGGTCTTCCCGCCGTCGAGATCGGGCTTAACCATCTATCCAGCATCGGTATGGAGACTATTAGCAGCCGTGTCAAGCTGCTCGCTGGCTGGCTCATCGATCGCCTCCTCGAACTCCGCCATTCCAACGGCCAACGCGTCGTTATCGTATACGGACCCCAAAACACCGTCAACCGCGGCGGAACTATAACCTTGAACTTCTTCGATCCTACTGGCCGCGTCATAGATGAGCGTGTTGTGGACAAACGTGCTCTCCCTATTAATCTTTCCCTCCGCACAGGATGCTTCTGCAACCCCGGCGCCAGTGAAGCTGCATTCTACCTCACTGAAGAAGCTCTGCTCAACGCATTCAACCAAGAAGCCGCAGCGAAGGAGCAAGAGGGCAACCCGAAGACATTCGACGAATTCCTGCTTGACATGGGTATGAAAACCGGCGGAGGCATTCGTATCTCCCTGGGCCTAATGACCAATTTCGCGGACTGTTTCCGATTCCTTCAATTCGCACACGGATTTATCGATAATATACCGACTGAGACGGACCTCAAGCCACGGCCACACTGCTAGTCGATGGTTTTCTTTGACGATCAATAACGGTTAATGATTGGAGGATATGTGATAATGACTTTTGGAAAAATTTGGGTATTGTTTCAAAACGGCGTTTGTGAAGTAAACGGTTGATGACTGCATAGGACACGAATCACGAAGCATTTGAGCATTCACTAATTTATATGTCTATTCTCTTCAGCTTATTTCTGGATTGACTTGTCAAATGTGATTAGCATAGTGATGTTGTTGTAAGGTTGTAAAGTTTGCATGGTTAAATTTATTTTTATCTTATCTGATCCGCGAGCTAATTGGGCTCACTAATTTCGTAATTCTTGCCATGGAAGTTATATGCTTTAAAACAGCCAAAACCAATAAAGCAAACAAAGAACAGGAAAAGTGTCAGTAGTTTCATTTCTAGTTTACAGATATCTCCGAGAAGAGAAACAGCTTATACTAAGAACTAGCTTGAGAGGCCTCTCTTTTCGCTCTCAGAGAAGAACACAATCATACGCCACAGCTTCTTCACCAGAACCTCTGCCTCTTCGTCAAGTGCCTAGTTGAATAGATACGTTAGCAGGTCCGATAGAGACAATAAACAACAAGGATATGGAAAACTTACCCCTTCAAGCTGCTCCACGAGATCCTGAGGGTTACCTCGCTTCCGGATATGTTCCTCCACAACATCAACCAGCATCTGTTCCTGGACACCGAGATACTCCATGATCTTCTTCTCAACGAAAGGTTTGAGCTGGTCGCTAAGGACTGCCTCGTCCACAAACTCCCACTTAACATCCCACTGCCAGAGACCTTCTTTATCTGAAGGGATCTCGGCTGCGAGTTGCCTGGCAGCCTGAGCACGTTCTTCATCAGTGAGCCCTGCGGTTTCGGCAATAGAATCGAATTTGATATCTGTAAGGGGGCGTCTGGCAGTTGCAGAGGAATCTTCTTCGTCTTCAAGCAGGCCCTCAACCTCAGCAACGGTCCTTCGTTGAGCTTTCTGAGCAGCGGCTCCAAGAGATAACTTGAATCGCTGAGGCTCCTTGCGCGGCTGGCTGCGAGATTCCATCTCTTGAGCTTGGCGGGCGAGGAAGTCTTCTGCCATACCGCGAGCTTGTTCTTGTTGCTGGGCTTCTTTAGCCTTTTCTCGCTCCTCGGCCGCTCTGTCGGCTTCGTCCATGGCAGCCTCCCGATTCCGGAATGTAGCACGCTTGCGAATCCACACTCCACGGTCAGCATAGTATTCTTCTACCTTCCGGCTTGCTTCCGTATCATCATTCCACTCCCGTAACCGTTTTGCCATAGCTCGCTTCTCTTCTTCCGCACGCTGTCCTTCTTCCCGCTCTCGATTCTTTTCTCTCTCCACAGCAGCTGTTCTGCTTCTTTCGCGGTTTAGCCACCGTCTTTCCTGATCTAAAGCTTGCTTCTCCAGTTCTGCATTTCGCTTCTCCTGGTGCCTTCTTTCTACCTCAGAATCGCTTGCATCAGTATCGTCCTCTTCCGGAATAATCTCCGTTTCATTGTTGACAAACGATACACCCTTTTGGTAGTCCTTTGGAATTTGGTGTCCATATCCCTTTGGTCCAGATGGGGCATTTGGTACACTTCTATCACGGGGCCCAAGTGGAATCCCATTAGCGCCGCCAGCAGGGCCAGACGTTGAACGCGATGGAGACGACAGTCTGTTCGAACGCGAATGACCAGCATTCCTAGCTCGCTCTAGAGACTCGATCTCCTCTTCTCGCTTCAGTCGCTCGAGATCCCGACGATTGCTCCTTTCACGGAATGCCGCAATCTCCTTTGCAACAGTTTCTCTCATCTCAGCAGGGATATCTGAAAGCTCATCCTCCACAGTGATCGGAATGGTAATCACTTCAGCAGAAGTACCATCAGCCTGCTTTTCTCCATCACCCATCGCCGTATCACCATCCTTATCCACTCCCTCTCCTTTGACTTGAGCAGAAGGGTTGGTAAGTTCTGCTAAAACAGCCGCAAGATTCTTTCTCGCGGTTTCGAGACGTGAATGTACTGCTTCCGGTTCTTGGGTATTGTTGGACTCATACTGCTCAAGGTATTTAAGGGAGCTATCGTCGACAACAACCTACAAACTTGTTAGCACTACAAAGAAAAACAAATAATAGGATATTTAAACTTACCATTAGTTTACTCATTTCAACTTCTTCATCGTCCTTTTCACCGTCAGACGGCCGCTGTTTGTTGACAGGAACTTCGATATCCCTTAGCACCTCGACAGCAGTATTAAGACTTTCTGGGTCCTCGTACTCTGCAAAACCAAACTTGCAAGGCTTATTGTCCGCATCAGTTGCCCGAATCCAGCGCCTGAGGTTACCCGCCGATCGCAGAATGCGTTCAACGCCTTCGTCACCACCTGTGCCTTCAGTTATACCACTAACAAAAATCGTGCGTACAATTTCATCCTTTGTCGGCGGTTGCAGCTGCATGATCGCTTCGCGTATATTCTGACGCTGCGATTCTATTGAAGCTGCGTGGTGCTGGCCTCCCCTACGCCCTCCCGCATCTCCACCCCGCTCACGGCCACTTTCATGCGGAGTCGTCGATTTAGGAGGGCCTGAAGTGCCTAGGCGAATTACAGGCGCGGAGAAATTGATATTTGGCATGTTCGCAGGAGGCTGGAAGTTTGGTGGAAAGCCGCCGGGCCTGCCTGGCTGTTGGGCGTTGTGCTGCTGCATTCCCGGTGGTGCACCGGTCCCTGGAGGTGCCATACCCGGAGGTGCCAATCCTGGCGGACCTTTTCAACGATAAGAAACCACAGGTTAGCTATACAATGTGCAAGTTACGCGGTCAAAGGGGACTAAAGAGGACAGGCGAAGCTCACCACCAAGGCCTGGGGGCGCGCCAGGATAGCTCCCAAAATCTGGCGGTTGGCCATACGGCCCTGTAGCTATAGACAAACGGTTAGCATTCGCAACAAACGAGTAAATTGGCCAGTCCTACTTACCTTGGTATGGATTATACATCCTGCTTCTCTTACACACGTCCTATCCTGGTAAAAGCAAAGAAACGGTAGAGGACCAGCGCTGTAAACGGGTTCAAAGGGCGGTCGGTGCGTATAATTAGCACGACAAAGCAGTCATCTCTGGGAATATCCTCTGCGTTGTCTCACTTCACGTCCGCTGTCACTTTTCTTGCACTTCTTCTTGAGCGCTTTTGATGCCTTTGATGCTTTTGATGGAGGTTTTTAGTCGCAGCGGATGGCCCGTGCTCGATGTCACGTGCCATAGTTCTTATTTTTACTTTGACTTTTATTTTGACGAACGAAATCGACGACAACAACAATGACAACAACAACGATGCAAATGAAGACGAGGCCGATAAGTGAGGGTTAAGATGGAGCATGGCAGATGAAACCTGTGTTATTGATGTACGCCACAGGGGCTGCATTATAGAAGTACTATATTGATGTTTATGAGAAAAGAGAGGCTACCCGAGTACCACGCCTTCATTGTGATACCCTGCTCTCGTCCACATACCTAGCCTCAAGTGATCCAAACGGTTTAATATTGAGCTGTTGAAATTGAGCTGTTGACATGTGTGAATACGAAAGAGTATTTTTCGTTTAGGGGGCTTCAAGACCTTTCAAATCCCAGTTTTGGATTCCTTAATCTTAATCATGCTTGATATTCAGTCAAAAACATGAACTGCGATAATCATACTTACAAACGTCGAGAAGGGCTAGTTTTTTTTTTTTGAATTGATAATTCCCAGTCATGCGAAAAATAGACTACGGAGACAGAAACGGCTAGCAGGCTATCTTCGAACAGGCAATAAGCTTGTTTCTGATATCTATCGGGAGCTGAAGTTGCTATCGTGATCTTTGGAACGTTTCAGTGTGATAACTCATGTATTGAATTCATTCGAGTCATTATAAGAGCTACTCTAGAAGTGCTGCTGGTTCTCTATCCCTGGAAATGTTCCGTCCTACGTCGCCGTTGCAGTTGTATCAACAGCGCAATCATAACTACAGGTGCCTTAGATTTGAATGTGTTAAGCACCGATACCTCATGATTTCAGAAAGTGTACATAAATCCAGCCAATCTATTGCTGGGAATCTTCCAAGTTTCCTGAAATCGGTGTTGATGAACTGTTAGGTTCATGCGCATTCAGAACTACGCATGTTGTTTATATTACTTGATAACTTTATGGGCAAGAGAGAGACTTTGCGATTCCAGAATACTAGAAAAGAGGTCAGGATGATCAACCTTATCGGGGCCATCTTCCGCCTGATACACAATCGAAGGCAGGTCAAGACCAAAGGTGTGAAACCATGTGGTCCTTCATGCATCGAAACAAGGTAAGTACCCGTGCAGATCCGGATCTCTCCCCAGTTTGATTCGACGGGTCATTATGGATATACTTGGAACGGGCTGCTACAATTTGGCAATGATAGTCAAGAAGCGGCAGATCTTGTCATGCGACAGAGAGTCATTCACTACCTCGAGTCAGCTAGCCTTCGAGCCGTTATTCGAGGGTTGTATATAATGTGATCGTCTACGCTGGAGCTCAAGAGAACTGCCGTGCAAAATCTCTTCATTAAAGGAAGAAGAAGAAGAGGCAGAATCTCGCAACGCACATTCAAGGCGTTTCTCCTTGGTCAAGGCACAAACATGCTCGCCTCAATCAAGTCCGCCATGGAAGGAGCCGCTAATCTGGTGTCTGGGCAAGCGGAAAACACGAAAAGAGCCCGTGTCAGAGTAGTGAACAATACCACCAGGCCTATCGTCGCCATCTCGGTGATTCACAAGTGCCCAGGCAGCAGCAATAGCCACAAGAGCCATCAAGAATGGGCAATGGTGCAGCCGGGCAAAGCATCCATGCCTGAAATGGAAGTCGAATACCCAGCCGGCTCTGGCTTCAGTTCCAATGCTGGCGGTGACAGCTCGTGGCTTGCCGTCTGGTACAGCGAGGACCTGCAGGCGCTCTGGCACTGCGAACCAAGCGAGTCGATGTTTCCGGTCGATATGCTAGACAAACAGTCTCGAGAGGAGATCCAGAGGGTTGAAGAAGCCCTCGCTACAGGCAGCGAGCCAGGTTCTAAAGGCGCACAGCTAGCTACTGCGCTGGCAAGGTCGACGACGGATCGAGCATTTAATTCGAACAGCCTAGAGGGATTAGTGCGTCATCAGTTGCGGGATGAGGATGCAAACGAGGTGACTGAGTTGGTTATCAATGCCAATGAGACGATGACTTTTAAATCCAAGTCTGGCACCACAGAGGCCAAGGTTAATTCTCAGCCAGCTGCCGCATAGTCCATTTAACTAGTTAATCGTTTGACGAGGGCTCCGGCACAGAGATGATTGATGTGTTGGGCTTGAAGCTGTGAGTTACTTTCTTGTCCAGGGCTGCTTAGTTGAATACTCTCTTTTTTGTTTCGGGCAGTGCAAGCGACCTGTAATTGAACCACGACTGTTCAGATAGCTTAAGTTAAATTAGCTTGATGAATAACTTGTTCGTATTGGATGCTTATATTGCCCCTTTTTTTGAGCTTCGTTTGTTGCTGGCCAGTTGCAGTTGAAAGGCTGACTGGATGGCTTGAGCCTGGGCCTGGTCAAGGATGCATACAGCTAGCTTGGTGATGGCTGGTCAGAAGGTTAACTCAACGGGTGTGGTCTTCGTGTCAGCCTCGCATCGTTCCGTCTGGTGTGTTCATTCGTAGTTAGTATTATTGATGAAGGAATTAGGCTGTCTACTAAAAAAGCCCTCTTCAAGAGGCGGCTTCTTGTACGATGAAGAAAGGAACGGTGAGCAGGAGATGTCTCTGTTCGATCAAACGGGCATTTTTTCGGCAGCCGCCAATCTCGGGTGCTAACCGACAAATTACCTGGGGGATGGACGGGCTTCTAACTAGTATGGGTACGGGGAAGAATGAATGGACGGTAGGGAAAAAAAAACTATTTATATCTTCTCGTGGCTGCGGCTTAGAGCCCACCAGGGAGCCTGAAGGGTAAAAAGGGGTAAACAAGCACATTGACATATGGACCAGACCTCGTTTCCAGCTGCGATGGTACTGGTTACGGAGACGAATGGCTGAACCTAAGCAATTTGTTCATGGCCGTGAACAGCTCGTCTGCCTTTTGCCTGGTTTCAGCCGCCCAAGCCCATAGAGGAAAGGTGAGACGTATAAGAGGGAGCTCAAGGCCCGCCCGGGGGATTTATATATCTATTTCCCCATCTCAGAATCAGTCATTCGTTTGTTCCAAGCCAGCAAGCAAGAAAAGTCTCAGCACATACCTTCTTTATACCCTTTAATATCTTCTTAATCCGTTAATCCAGATCTTCGTCAAGATGCGCACTGGTATCTTTGCTCTTGCTGCCCTCCTCGTGAGCGGCGTCATGGCCGATGATGGAGAATGGCGCAAGGTTGAGCCCCATACCATGAAGGCTCTCCGTGAGCTCCGTGCCCGTCAGAGCGGTGGCTCTTCGTTCATCCCTGGCACCACCCAGGGCCACGGCAAGAACTGTGTCGACGCCTTTGGAGCTGGATACGAGCTGTGTGCCGACAGCAAGGTCTGCTACAACCCAACTGAGGGTGATCTCTGCTGCTCTGAAGGCTGTATGTCCATGAATTCGAGCCATTCATTCCTGATACCAAACACCTGCTGACCATCTGATAGACCCCTGCCCAAATGGAAGCTTCTGCTTGACCAAGGGATACTGCTGCCCCAACGTGAGTCATTAACTCTTGTGGTATATATGTATCAACAGGCAGGCTGCTAACTGCTTTTCCAGGGACTTGACCCCAAGGAGTGTGCCAAACAGCACAACGTCGAGCTCCCTCCAACCTATGGCAACGGCAACACCAAGCCCTCTGGCGCCCCCTATCCCACCGGCAGCACTCCTCCCACCGGCGGTTCTCACTCTACCGGCGCTCCTAAGCCCACTGGAACTCTCCCAACTCGCACCGGCACTCTTCCCACTGGCACTCACACCGGCCCAACTGCCACCAGCCCACCAATCTACACTGGTGCTGCCACCCACAACACCGTCCAGGGAGCTGCCGCCGCCATTGTCGCTCTCGGCCTCGTCCAGAATTTCTTGTAAAGAACCTTCTCGATCGTTCCCTGACCTTCTCTCACATCTCTATCTGCTAAACGAAACGTAATGGACGGTGGTTGTCGCAGGGGGGTATCTCGTATCTGGCGGGCAAAGATGTAGTAGCTAGCTTTTGTGTCGATATGTAATCTAATGCTGACTTCTTCGGTTTCATCTCGTCCCTCGACTCGTCTTCTTCCTCTTCTATGCGTCTTCCACCGTCTTCCAGGCCGTCTTTGTCTCCATCGTCGCCGCCGCCGGCCCCGGGTCTGGACAGCCTGGGCAGCTCGCAGGCTGAATAATCCAAGGATTTTAGTTGCTTGCTCGTGGCACCGCCGGCCCGGGATACCTGATCAAGCGCCATCCGGGACAGAGGAACATGCAGGACCCGGTCAGCGCCAGCAGCAGGCCGGTTGTTGCGGGTGTCTCTTTGTCACATACATACATATATATATAGCTGGTGACCTTGGTCGTGGGTTTGTAGACGCGGAGGTTTGACTAAGTTGCAGTTGCTGCCCCTCAGCTTGACATCATCATCATCATCATCATCATCATCACCTCGAACTCGACATTGAGAGCAGAGCAGAGGACAGAGGCCGAGGACGACGAGACCAGACGGAAAAAGAAGAGGCACAGGATACAGTCGAGATGCCATTCGCACAAGCAAGCAGCCTGGAGGCCTGGAAGGCCCTGGAGCAGCACCATACCACCGCCGGGCGCCACATCCGGCTCAACGAGGAGTTCCAGAAGGACTCGCAGCGCTTCGAGAAGCTGTCTCGCACCTTTTACAATGAAGCAGACAAGTCGGAGACGCTGTTCGACTTCTCCAAGAACCTTGTCACGCACGAGACGGTCTCCCTGCTCGTCAACCTGGCGCGGGAGGCCGGCGTCGAGGAGCTGCGCGAGCAGATGTTCAAGGGCGAGCCCATCAACTTCACCGAGAACCGGGCCGTCTACCACGTTGCCCTGCGCAATGTGAGCAATCAGCCGATGCAGGTCGGCGGGAAGAGCGTCGTCGAGGACGTCAATTCGGTGCTGGAGCACATGAAGCAGTTCTCTGAGCAGGTCCGCAGTGGTGAGTGGAAGGGCTACACCGGAAAGAAGATCAAGACCATCATCAACATCGGAATTGGCGGGTCAGACCTGTAAGTCTTCTGTTGGCGCCGGGTAAATAAATACTTACTAGTTGGACGCATGCTAATTGGTGCTGTAGCGGCCCTGTTATGGTGACCGAGGCGCTGAAGGCGTATGCTGACCGTAGCTTCAACATCCACTTCGTCTCCAACATCGATGGCACTCACATCGTCGAAGCTCTGCGTGACTCAGACCCAGAGACGACTCTGTTCCTCATTGCCTCCAAGACGTTCACCACTGCCGAGACGACTACCAATGCCAACACGGCCAAGGACTGGTTCCTCAAGACCGCCAAAGACGAGGCTCACATCGCCAAACACTTTGTTGCCCTTTCTACCAACGAGCAGGAAGTCACCAAGTTCGGCATCGACAAGAAGAACATGTTCGGCTTTGAGTCCTGGGTCGGTGGCCGCTACTCTGTCTGGTCTGCTATCGGCCTCTCCGTCGCCCTGTACATCGGCTTCGATAACTTCCATCAGTTCCTCGCCGGTGCTCATGCCATGGACAAGCACTTCCGCGAGACTCCCCTTGAACAGAACATCCCTGTCCTCGGCGGCCTGCTGAGCGTCTGGTACAGCAACTTCTTTGGCGCTCAGACTCACCTGGTCTCCCCCTTTGACCAGTACCTACACCGCTTCCCGGCCTATCTCCAGCAGCTTTCCATGGAAAGTAACGGTAAGGCTGTTACCCGCAACGGCGAGCATACCAAATATACCACTGGTGCTATTCTCTTTGGTGAGCCAGCCACCAATGCCCAGCACAGCTTCTACCAGCTGCTGCACCAGGGCACCAAGCTCATCCCCACCGACTTCATCCTCGCGGCTGAATCCCATAACCCCGTTGAGGGAGGCAAACACCAGCGTATGCTTGCATCCAACTTCCTCGCCCAGGCAGAGGCTCTCATGGTCGGCAAGTCTCCCGAACAAGTCAAGGCTGAGGGTGCCCCTGACGAGCTGATTGCACACAAGACCTTCCTGGGCAACCGCCCTACCACCTCCATCCTGGCCCAGAAGATCACCCCGGCTACTCTAGGTGCCTTGATCGCATACTATGAGCACGTCACCTTCACCGAGGGCGCCGTCTGGAACATTAACTCCTTCGACCAGTGGGGAGTTGAGCTCGGAAAGGTCCTTGCTAAGAAGATCCAGAAGGAACTCGAGACCTCTGGTGCTGGAGGCGACCACGACGGCTCGACCAGTGGCCTCATTGCTGCCTTCAAGAAGAAGGCATCCCTTTTGTAAGTAAGGGATAAACGACAAATGACTTTGTTTCTCGTAGCTAGATGATGATGACTTTGCTGCTTATGCATTTAATAACTATGAAAATTTGTATTGATTGCCAGCGGTCTCTAGACCATCCTTGAGCATTCTATCCTGGGAAATTTAATCCCCGGTCATACTCTGTATTGTAGTATCCTCCGTAGATCTTGTTCGTCTCGTTGCCGCAGCTGTAGATTGTATAGATTTGCCCCTGAACGCCGCCAAGTCTGATAACACTGTGTGCTTAAGAAAATGAACCCCAGAAAGAAACATCTACCGCTCTACCATCCGGACGCCCGCAAGGGAGTATTATTGCATTAATATGACTTTTCTCAAGCGGATACTGATATCCAGCCCGCTCTACTTGGTACTTTTCTCCTGTCTCTGCGCCGTCGTGAGCGCATCCCGGTTAACACACCTGGACAATCCCGCAAAACCAGCATACAAATACGGTGATAACCTCCCCATCAGCTGCCTGAACAGAACAATGTAAGTTGGCTCCCTTTTGGTTTGCTTGTTTTATGGGATCGTATTTAACTATGAAATCAACCAAACAGTGACGATGGCCAACACGTACGAAATACAACCAATTCCTACCATCCAGCAGCGATCACCGATTAACCAACCAACAGGTCACCGATGTAGCTGGAAAGCTCCAATTTATACCCTTCCCCGAATGCAATGAGACCGGCTTGCCTCTTGCGTTTCATTATGGCGTCTCCGAAACAATAACCTGCACCATCGACTCGCTCTCCGATTCCCTCTACCACCTACTAGAATACTACGTCCACTCCGATGTCCCTCTCGCATGCCGCATACCTACCGCCCCCCTAGACGGGTCCAGCACCAAATTCAGCTCGAGAAAAGATGACATCAAGGAGAAGGACAAACATAAGAAGAAGAAGAATAAGAGCAAAAGCAAGGATAAAGACGAAGACGAAGCAGAGAGCGGGGATGAGCTTTCTTCGACGCCGTTTACGCCCATGACTTTTGCGGTGCAAGGAACACTCCAGTACAGCCATTTGCACATGTGGACGGATATGAATGTTCTCTTCCACCGATCTACAAGCATACAGTCAAAGGGCGCAAAGCCTTCCAAACACCACATAAATGGCCAGGTTGTAGCTGGATCGGCGTATTCGTTCCCGCTGGCAGCTAAACGGGATAAGGAAGGGAAGCTTGACAAGACAATAAGCGTGCCTCTGGACCCCTGGGCGGCGGGGAAAGGGAGCAAGATTGTTCGTGGGGAGCCAGTCACTTTCACATTTAGGGTCGGATGGGTGGATGAGAGTGACGTCTCCTTCCTCTCGGCACAACCTCGTGGAAGTTGGAGTGCATTCGGAACGATGATATGGCGGGTCAGCATGTTTGTTATGGCCGGCGTCGCTGGAGGTATTCTTGCTATATGGTGGGATCGAACACTTGGATCAAGACGAAAGGGAAGCCGATGGGACGGAGATGGGTTGTTAGGCAACATATCCGGTTCATCAAAGGGGTTCTTTGGATCACGACGTGCTGGTACGGCGTCCAGCAGCACTACGAGTATAGGTGGTTATGGAGGATACGGGCTAAGCAGCGCTGGAAGTCATGGTTACAATGGCTTTTCTAGCGGGAAAAGAGACTGATCTCCATGATGCCAAAGCATCTTGTCCTTTTTTTCTTTTGAATGGATGTTGATAAAAATAGATTTTGACACGTTTCTAGGAGGAATCTTTGATATAGTAAATGTACATGATAAAATGAAATTAAAAGGCATTTTCAACCTTCATGATGCTAGTTATACATTTGACTTCACACGCCCATAACCAGAGAATCCACAACCAACAGCCAAAGATTGGGGTCACACTACCATCCCTGCCTCTTCAACTCCATGCATCTAGCAACCTGAACCTTGAACGACTTCTTAAACAATTCTCTCCACAGTTTCGACTTTCTGGCCTTCCGCTTCCTGCCCCGACGAAGATGGAACCTTTGAGCGTTTTGGTCGGACCTGATCTTATTTCTCGAAACCACACCCTCCAACATAGAAAAAGCAGTCGTGGCATCAATGCCTCTCGATGGGTCAACTGCAATCGTACGGCCTAGTTTCGGGCCCAGTTTTAATTCAGGGTATTTCGGAACAGCACGTCCTCCCTCGTTTGAGCTGTTTGCAACCGAGTCTCGAACAGCTCGCGTCACCCGCCCAACGTCTGCATTTTGAAATAGGTGGCGGAATCCAGCTGTGATGTTTGAGCTACTGGGCGGATTCGACGAGCCCACTCGCTCATATACATCGTCTAGAAGGTTGCTAATCGAGTCCACATCGAAGTTGTTCTGGCTGGGTGAAGGTGTCTTTTGCTGTCTTTGCTGCTGCTGGGAGTCTGCCGGGGCATCTTTCCGTCTATCCGATAGTGGCTGGGATGTAGATATGGTTCGTACCGGCTGGCAGAGCGGTTGTGATATGTATGCTGGGCGAGAGAAGTGTTGGCGGACGAGGCGGGAGGTGTGCTTCGAAACCAGGCCATTGGCCATCCGTCGGACGTCCATCACGACTGGCACAGCTCAATGACCATCCGATGCCCCGTATCAGCGTAAAACGAGCGTCGTGGCAGGCTGTAGCGTCTCTTTCTGCTGTTTCTTGTCGCTGCTTCGTCGTCCCTTTTTGATACTTAAGGTTGAAAAAACGTCCATCGAAAATGCCATCGGAGAAACTCCGGCCTTTTGTTTTTCCGTTTGTCTCACGTGACATCTCTCAAGGTTTTATCGATAAGGAAGTTTCGACGTCGCGAGTTGAATTAAAAGAAAATACAAAAACAATTGACGATCAGCGACGACGACGACAACGAAGAGCCGACGAGAAGAAGGCTAGAAGTAGTCTAGAAGAAGAGACTGTCGTGTGTTTATAGCAGGAGAGCAGTGTGCGATACCGCCAGAGCCATGTCGTCCATCACCATCGCGAGTCTGCCTAGGATGGCCCGGGAGACGCTCTCTGCGATCATCCAAACACCCGCAGCGGCCAGCAATCTTGCTATCATAGATGTCCGAGATTCTGGTTCGTCTGTTCATCCCCTCATATCCCTCCGTGCGACGTCTAACTAGGCTGTATTGTCGTCGATATAGACCATGTCGGCGGCAACATCGTCACTTCGCAATGGGTGCCCAGTTCCTCCTTTGATGTTCATGTCCCAGAGCTTATCCGGACTCTTAAGGACAAGGAAAAAGTCGTCTTCCACTGTGCTCTGAGCCAGCAGCGCGGCCCATCAGCTGCTTTAAAATACGCGAGAGAACGAGCCAGAGTGCTCGGTGAGGATGAAAGCGCCAAACAGACCATCTTTGTTCTTGATGGGGGCTTCGTCAAGTGGCAGGAGGTCTTCGGCAACGACCCGAAACTCACTAATGACTATGTCAAAGATATCTGGGACGACTACTGATTATAACCTTTACGATGATGGCCTTTTTTATTCTTGCCAATTGCTTTGCATATGATTAGCGCGTGGTAGACTAGCCTTGACTAGACTATTGACAGTAGCGAGGCAGTCGGCGTTCTTACACTTTATACATAGATCTTGCTATTAGCATGCGACTCACGATTACAGAACATTCAGAAACAAAAATACCAAAGATTCTAGGTGTATATATACATGTAGAAGTATTTACTTGGTGTAATTACATCCGAACTTCACCACCAAAGCCTACCGGTCGTCTCTTGCCCCCGCTCTCAGGAACAATAGCCATGGCCTTGTAGATCCTACCCATCCCTCCGCCCCCACGCTCAACGAGACGCTGCCAGGAGCTTTCTATCTGTTTGCGCTTCTCTTCATCTTTCACATTGCGAAGTAGCTGGGCCGCCCTTTCTGCAATGCCTAATGAACGTAGAAAGCTCCCCTGCTCGTTAGGGCCGTATACTTCAACACCAGGACTAGCATTGAGAGCAGACTCAGCAAGGCCAGTGAAATCCACATCAGCGCTAAGGTCGACTTCTCCTGGGGTTGCGAAGGGCGACACAACCTGGTGGTTCTTGATTCCGCGCAGAGAATTAACGGGAATGGTAGACGACGGCCCATAATCAAGTATCAGCGCTGCGCCAGCTGGGGTGCGGGTCGGTGAAGGGTTTTTATCAGTTGGATTGGGTCCTCCTATCAGTCGGGCTATTTCTTGGGCGTAGGTATGACTTTCTGGGCTGATCTCAATTGTTGATCCACGAGTCGACTTAAGTGCCTTGTACCGAGGTGACATTTCTGGCATGACGAGCGATGCTGGAGTAGGAGACTTTGCGAGTGCTAGTCGGAACTCAAGCTTCTTGTCATTCTTGACGCTACTGTCGTCGCCATCGGGCTCACGTTCTGCCTCGGGGTTTGTAGCAACAACCAGCTCTCTCCATTGTGTTCCATTCAGGGGTAGCGAAGGTTGTCGAAGTTCAGCCGGTCCAGTCGGTGTATTGATTGTTTCTGGAGGAGGGGAGTGAACGGCTTGGAATGCATGGATCGGAAGGGCATCGAAGAACTCGTGAGCAATGATGAATGGTGCCTTGTCCTCGGCTGGTATCATTGTTAGTCTGTAGGTATTACGGGTTCAGACAAGAATGGAAGTACTCACTCTGAGGCAATATGCGTATATGCTCTGTCCAGTAAACCGGTACTCCTAGGTGAATGCTAGTGCTCTTATAGCCAATATCACACTCTTCCATCGGTGCATCTCCGCAGAGTGCCTTCTTTTGGATTTCTCGCAACGTTGGACTGGCCTCTATCATGTATACTCCCTCAACACTCGAAGCAAACCCTTTAAAGTTCCTAACCGACTGGTACATATCCCCCATCAGTTGAAATTTCCATGCTCATTATGTAAAGAAAAACTTACTCGTAATATATCCGCCATCAATGTTCCCTTGCCTGGCCCAAATTCCATCAATTGGACTCCACTGCTGCGTCTCCCCTGAGACAGCCATTCCGTTACTATCCATATTCCTAGCAGCTCGCCAAACATTTGAGATATTTCCGGCGACGTAACAAAGTCTCCCTCCTTGCCGAAGACATCACTGCCAGGTGTTCCACGGGATGTATAGTAGCCGCCTTCATCGGAAGTAAGGCACTGACGCATGAAGGCCGCAATCGAGATCGGTCCCGTAGTCTACGTCAAGAAAGAATTAGCAAACCAGCATTCAAATCTAACTTATAAATAGTATTCAAGGAGTAGCACGGGAAGAACCAACATTGATTGCATCCGTGATTCTCTTTGCCAGGGGAGTCGACCATTCCCGCTGCGAAGCCGGCCTCAACGTGGATAGACACCGCCGGCCGTTTGGCACTGCCAGCCGCGCGGGTCGACTGGCATTTGCCAATCGGTATACTATCCTAGAGGCACCATTGCTCATCTTTCGGCGATGAGAGGTGCTGTTTCGACAAACTGTGACCTCGAAGAAAGCATTCAAGACCTCAAATATCCAAGACGGACAAGCATGCTTCCCGAGAGGTCGTGCTTATGTAATTAAGATTCGACTTCGGCGTTTCTAAGCGCAAAAAGGAACGTTTGGGATATAAAAAGAACAGACGACGGTGAGATTTGGCTGATGGGCGGGATTGGCATGCACAGCAACGATGACAGGGAGGTAGGCTGTCAAATAGAGGCTCTTCCGATGCGAAGGAGTCTTCATCTTGGTGCCCGGGGTCTGTCTTGTGCTGCTAAATATGGGCTGCCAGTTGTGCACAAGTTTCATCAAGCGAACTACACCCGGAGGTCGGACGGACATTGATCTTATCATGAGAAGGACAAATATGCGGGAACATGAGAGGGAAGACCATGTCGCACAATATCATTCAGCCAAGGTGCTATCATGCCTTGAGCTGCTCCGGAAGACTTTTGATCAGCTGAACAGTACTTAGCAGACTACGAGTGTCCAAAGCACCAATATGCATACTCCTCCGTCATCACATTTTCGTCGCAGTTAACTCGCTGGCTGAGTAGTAAACCCTTCCTCATCACGTCTACATGTCTATTGGTTGAGGTGTAGGGAATCTAATGTGCTGCAATAAACGGTTCTTTGATACCAATATTACTTACTGCTTTATAATTGACATTTTGGAGGCATGTCAATTTTACGTTTGGAGGCCATCATCCGGGCATTGAAACCATTTGGGTTCGCTGGCAGAATTGTCCGTTGAACCATGGGTTGACCAACATTTGACCTACCGAAGGCTTGCCCAAACGTCCAGGCCCATGAAGAGGATGGGCAAAATGCAGCACTTTGCACGGGGCAGTCTGGGGACTGCTGAGAGGTCATCGACAAACCACTAAGTGGCAAGTTCATTCCTCTGGTTTGTGGGAAGCGTATCTGTGGAAGACGGAACCTGCCCGGGAGTGGCGCAAGATTGGGAGGATTTGATTCTGAAGTTTGACTGAGAGTCAATTCCTAGCAGGTGGGATAGATATCTTGATGACATGTTTATTGATGCAATAAATTAGTGAATACCCCCCATAGGTACCAGTGCCTCTTGAAGAACGACAATGACATTTAACTCGTCGAATTATGAATTTCTGGTGTCAATTGGGCTCGAGCTTTGAGGCTTCTTACCTGCTTAACTGGCAGAATTTTTATGGTTTGTTGTCCTTGAACCTGAGGTTCTAGCTGTTGCATCATAACAGCCACATTCAATGGCTTAGCCCGAAGTTTCGGTGGGCGAGGAACATCTTCTGCTTTCGTAATCTCTCTATTATTATCAAATTCACCGTTGTTTTGGCATGGGTGTTGACTCATAAGATGGAAGTAGTGTTATTCATACAAAAGCAAAGAAGTAAATGTCCTCATCAGATTGGTTATTGTTGTACATAGGTGCAAAATGCAGAGATCAGGCGATGGCAGAGTTGTTTCACGATCGAAAGCTCTCAAGAACATCCAGTATGAGATCCAGCGCTGCCGCGCTAAAATGAGTGGGCCAAAGCATAGAATTGTTACTAACGTCTCCGGGACCTAGACGGCTGGGAGTCAACCATCATTGTATCATACAAGTCAGGCTTGGCTGAATTGTGCTGTTTTTCGGTTTGTCTCCGAGCTCTTCCCCAGTTCTGGCCGTTGTGCCTATGGTCTTGATCATAAGAATTGGGCTGTTGCTGCCGTGGCTGTTCTGCTGGGTCCGCAAACCCAAAACGACCATCTTGAAACTCCGCAGGACGACGATTTTCACGGCGCTCCTGGTCTGCCAGCTCACGACTACTGTCAAATGCCGATTTGGTCCTGGTAGCAGAAGCAGAGTTCGATTGCGCTAATACTGTAGCCGGGTTAGCTGTATCTATCCGAACCTGGATCACTCTTCCATCTGCCTGTACGTTTACGTTAGTTGGCATGTCAAGTCATAATAAGGTGGAGGTAAAACAAAGTTGGGGCAAACCTTTTGTGAATTGAAGGCCGCCACAACGCTATCAGCTCCCCGTCTTTCAGCGAATACCATCTGCGCTGTTACAGAGGGGTATGACTTTGTAATTCTGCATTGGAGAATATCCCCTCCAGTGGGGCTGAACGCAGCTTCAATGTCCTCCGCAGTGGTTCCAGGCGCAAAGTTACTGCCAATGACGACACAGGGGCCAGATGCACGGCCTTTAATATTCAAACCAGGTCCTTGTGTCTTCGTGCGATCGGTATTTTCAATTATTGGGAGAACGCCTGATAGCAGGCGACTTTCTCGGGTTTGCCGTGTGGTTGTAGGCTTTGCCTGTTGCTTCTTCACGCCCGCGGACGCCACACGCTAAACGATGATGACTGGTCAGGATACGTTCTGGTTGGGCAAGCTGCAAGGATCGCGGGGGAGGGAAACCTTTTCGACTCTGCTCGCAAGGCTCCCAGTAACTGGGGAGCCTCTTCTGCTAGACACATTGGATCCTGGAGTGCCCGATTTTCTTGCTTTTCCGAAAAAATCGTCTGTCAAGGCTTGCTTTTGACGTCGGAGACGGGCTATATAATTTGAAGCGAAATAAATCAGCCAAAGCGAACATCACCATAGTTGTTATATATTTATCATAAATTCCACTCACCATTATGAATAATTGCTTCAAAAGACGCGCTCTCTTCCTTCTTGTTCGGAGCCATCTCGGTCCAAGGGCGTTAGTTAACAAATTTGACGGGCTTAACAGCCGTTGACTATAGGGGGGGAAAGGCTGCAGTCGTTAGGGCCGATGTCGAAAACTCCCCGAGCTAAAGACACAAAAATCCGTGGTTTGGGTGCGAGAGAAAAGGCTGGAGAGGCGAGAGTTCATGAATGTCCGTTTTGTTCAGTGACGACATGAAAGCTGAAGTTGTGAAGAAGCGCGCGCATGCGTTGCTGACTCATCAGCCTCGTCTTTTTGCCGCCTTTTTTTTAACTTCCTTCTTTCCAACGTCGAATATCAAAAAGTTAAACAGGGTTGAGAAGACAACTTCGACCAGAAGACGGAGACAGCAGGCTTGTGAGTAGGGAAAGCCTTACTACCACACCATTATACCCCAAGGCTCCCCAGCAGCACCGTGAAGTGCGTCATTGCCTAACTCAATGGCAAATTCTGGAATTTATGTTATACTCCAAACCAGATGGCAACTGTCGGGGCCAAAGTCTGGGTCACAACAAACCACCAGCAAAAGAATCAACGGTTCGACCCAGCAGAAAGGGTAAAACGTCAACTAAGGCCTTGACTATGGCTGCTGCTGTGTTGGCAGATAAGTATCTCCTCTCTCACTGGGAGTTGGATATTTTCTTCTTCTTTAGTCAACTCAGGTAGCTGTGTCTTCACAGCTATTGACGCTTGGTTAATGGAGTTGGAAGAGATGTTTTTTTCTTCTAATATTTGTTTCTATTTCTATCCTTCCACTGTTCTCCTTCAGTAATGGAGGCTGATATGAATTCGTCTGCTCGCCAGGTTCCTAACCGGGATACTGGTAGTATGTCTGTTGAATCAACTACCTCAAGGGGATCAGTGAAGAGGAGCTGGAGTTTCCCCCGGGTCTTTGGAACGCGTTTTAACAGACAAGTGTCTGCCCTTTCTCCCCGGTTGATATATCTCCCGGTTGCTCACGTACATGTAGGGATCAGCCACCGGCCCTTGTCTCGGACGGCATGGAGGCAGCAGACCGCTCCGTTTACAGCACCCAAGGCCCTGGGGTGAACTCCAGGAGCACACGGAGCAGCTTCCGCTTTTTCTCCCGCCAAAAACTCTCCACTCCGCCTGATTTTTCCGAAACACCGCTCAGGCGGGCAAAGTCAGCGCAGGGCTTTTTCGCAGGCACATTCAAGGCAACCCCATTTTTCAAACGTGCCAGCGTTGTTCCGAACCAGGCTGACCGGAATGAGTCTGATGATAACGGCACTGGCTTTGCGGACTCTGACTCGGATCATGAGAGTGACGTGCTTTCAACGTTTGCTCCCATACATCCTGGAGAGTCGCTGGCAGTTCAGTCATCTGGGTCCCTTGGAGAGACTAATGATAGCCATCAGCTTAGCGAGGAGACTCGAGAAGCAACCTTGGAGGAGAAGAAGAGCCTCCTCGACCCCACCCCAGAATCGTCAACTCGATCCGTCATTTTGGTGTCTCGGAGACTGAAGAACTACTTCCGAAAAAACAGGAGCTTCTGGTCTCATGAGGTATGTTAACACCCTGGCTATCTCTGATCTGCATGCACTTCACAGCCCCTAACGTTGAGTAGAATCCAAAACCTCGCCCTGTTGGCAGATGTACCCCTGCGAACAAAGTGAGTCCAGATTGCTGCCTCCCTCCTTCATCTTTCAATGTGCCTCCCCCGTTTTCCTGCATGAAATACATGGAAATAGCCCCTTCCCCTTGTCACCCCTGCTTCCTTCCCTAACAGTTTATTTACATCTAGCCTCAAACCGGTTATGCTGACCAACCATAGCCTCCCACAGAACGCGACCTTGCTCGGCAGCGTCTGTTAGAAGATTCTTTGCTCATTTGCCCAGAGAAGTTCCCGATTGCGGCGCAGAGGCTAATGAGTGGCGGGATAACGGCCAACTCCTCTTGTGTAGCCTCACTATCCGCGGTTTCTTGTCGGGGTCATGGGCGTTCCACAATTAGTCTTTCTTTAACCACTCCGTCTCCTCGGTTACCAACTCATTTGCGGTATATGGTGGAGGCTATCGATAGACCGTCAGCTGAGCAGTTTATAGAGAGTACAAGCGCTCCACCATAGTCCGGGCAGTTATATGGGTTTATTTGCTCTGTAATAAATGTTTAATAGACATAAGAGCTCGATAATATAATGACCAATGAGGTGACTTTCATCGAACCATAAAAGCGTATGAATGGATAAAAAGCCACTACTAGGCTCCCTAGGTCTGTACCGTGCACCAGTCCATGAAGACTAGCATAATCAAGACGCACTCGGGTACACTTCCAACATGGGTACAATGTTTCTGCTCCAGTTTGGCCCTGTCCTTACTAAACAACTCTATAACTAACCATCTCTTCACATGGGGCCTATGAAACGCTCCTCTACCACCTGGTATTTTCATTGGATATGGAAGCTTCACGCAAGTCCTCAGAGCAATAGACCCGATTTCCTGTGCTAAGGTTATGGTTTTAGGGGCTTAGCTACCCAGTCCTAATACTGCTATCCCTTTGGTTAATTGACGCATCACGTATGCTTGGTATTATAAGCCGGATAATATCCTTTCTAGGATGGCGATTATGGTAGTAGACATTTGGTGGCACCGATTCTCTCAAGGCACAAAGGAGGTATCAGGCCAATACCCGGGGTCCTAACTTCGTTCGTATACCCCTGAGTCACGAAAGGGCCACCTCCATCAGTTTTACCACGTCCGATCGCCCCTGCCCCCACGTCCTCTACCGCCCCGGTCGTGGCTCCTTCCGCGGCCTCGGCCTCTGCCGCCGCGGAACGATCTTTCACCACCATACTTGTCCGGAGTATGTGGCATTTCCACAGGTGCTTCACCACCCATCAACTCATGCAGACCTTGCGGCCGAGCAAGACGTCTATACCAACCGTTTTCAGCGTCGTTATCGTTGCTGGTACCATTGTCATCATAGTTGAGCTCCGAATGTCGTAGATTTGAAGGTGGATGGGATGGACCTTTTCCTCGATTGCCTCCTCCGCGTTCAGTTTTCCCTTCACGTTTTCCTTGACGCTTCAGCTTGAGCTGCCTCTTATACTCAGCTTCGGCTTCATCGTCTGAGAACTCTATCTGGTCATCTCCCACTTCCTCATCATGTAAATTCGAAGCATCACTTCCCTTTAGACCCCTGAGTGGCTGTGTGAACACAAAGGTTGAATGGTCAACAACATAAAAGACAGGTGTTTCTTTCTCTAATCCAGCTTCTTTAACTGCTTCTGCATTTGGGAATCGAACGGTATATAGAGGTTGCTGAACACGGCCGAGTGTTTCCGATACCACCCCGATTACCTTCAGGTTGACGGAGCATAAAACTGAGCCTGTTTCTAGGACCTGATATTCGCCAGATATATTTGCTCGCACCAGCACAACATTATCCACAATACTCTCGACATTTCCTAGCATCTCAACCTTCATTTCAGGAGTGATAGTGATGTCTGGCATTGGTACAATCTCATCTGGCTTCTCATTCGCCGTTCTGACTTCAGTTATCACCGCCCTACCACCGTCCCCTCCTTCATCGTCCGATCCGCCCTCTGCAGCCATCAACAAACGAGCCTGCTCTTCTGGACCCAAAAGTTCATAGTCATCATCATCATCCTCGTCAGAGTCACTTGAGTCAGAATCAGTCGAAGACTCAGAAGAAGACTCATACGGAGACGAGTCAACCTCCCACTCGGGATGATCGCCTCCGTCAGGTTGTTGCTCTCCTTCAGTAGCTGGGGGTATTCCTTCTATCATTTCAGCCGCAAGCGCAGCGATTTCAGCTTCTGCGGATAGAGAAGCATCAGGTATGGCATCCGTCCTCTCTTTAGCATTAGGGTTACCAGCAGAGTTCGTAATGTTCTCATTGGGAACCTCTATTCCATCCCCAGACATAACCATATCTTCTCTATCGGTAGTCTCGGGTACCTGCCCGACCGTGTTCGGTGACGGTTTAGACACACTTTCAAGCGGTTGATTACTACTATTTCGATGGTCTTCTTCACTGAGTAGCGTAAGACCTGGGATCATAATGCGCGGCCTCCCAGATCCTTCTGTGGCGATGGTTTCGTTGTTCGAAGGGACTGCATTCCCCGGTTGAAGAGACGGTCCCACGTTTAACGGTGTATTATAAATGTCGCTCCCCTCATCCTTTGGTGTATCCGTGGCTACTGTAGAAATTGTACCATTGACTGCAACGGAGTTATTGTCCATCCTGGGCTGCTCGGTAGGTAGGCTCCCAGTGTGAGTGTCGTCGCCCATCGCAGTGTCCTCCATGATATACAAAGTATAATTCAGGGTTAAACAAGGAAAATAAAGGTATCTCCAATGATCTCAAATCATAAATGTAGCAGATTCTGCAGAGCCAAATCAAAGTGAATCAAATTTCATCGTCACAAGCTGTGGTTTTATATCAGCGACTTTTGTCGAAGCTCAAAACTTTCTTTGGGTTTTTATAACTTTTTAACCTTTTGCGATAAGATAAGGTACTACGCTAGCATTGATTAGGGACTAGTACGGGCTTACCTAATTGTTTATATCATGTGACATGGCTGGCGCCCACCTTTAATGTTTTCACAATTTCGGTTCAGTTTTAGAAAGTATTGATTTATTTGCTTATTGCCTACAGTTGCATATGGTAAAAGGATAGTCGGGGATGAGTCATTAATTGGAATGCATATGCCTCAATATTGAGATGTCATAATATTTCTATGGTATCTATTTTTTCTATGTCACTGGCTAAATTCATCACATCATATCCATCATTACTATGGCTAAACGAAACAGCAAATGAGGGCCATTCTATACGATTATAATTCTCCTCCTTTGATCCAGATTCAACCCCCAGACTCGGAATGACATATGTGCTTGCATTTCATGGTTTTCGTGAGGCCGTAACTCCTCAGGAAGGGTCTGAGCCAAGACCGTGTCTCTCAGGTCAAGGCACCGCTCAAACTCTGACCAATTCCAGGAACATTCTGAGCCAAACGCCTCCCCATCATGGAATAAACCCCCTTCCCTTGCCACGGAAAAACTATTCCAATTCGAAGACCACTTCTCCGGGAGATCTATCCCTGGAAAGAACTTCATGCTGCTTCCAAGGGCTGTCTGTGAAAAGGCAATTGCATTCATGAGTTTCTCGGTTACTTCCGCCCATGATTGAAAATCGGAGGTATGAGACTTGATTGCTTCGTAGGCTGGGTTCCAAACACCCTCCAGTACGTCCGGAGCCAGGGCTATAGGTTTGAGAAAGGACCAGAAAAATTGTCGAAGGTTCCAGGCATATTCCGTCTTAATACCTGTTGCATAGTTATCAAGCAGGCCTACCCTTTCTTTGACAACCATCGATCCCACGCCTGACCAGTCCCTCTGGTGCTCCTGTTCCGTATGCCGGATGAATTTCCAGATAGCAGCTTGATCACGAAGCATCCAGCCTAGTTTCTCTTTGTAGCTCTGCCAAGTAGATTTTAGATTTGCTTCTAGTGTATTGAAGCCCGTCAAGCGAAGAATTCCGAAGTCAACAACAGCCTTTCTCTCAGCGGTAACTAAATCAACGTCCGAAGCCATCGGAATCTGTGTGGGATCAACCTCACACAGCTCTAGTAGACTTGAATAAAATTCTTGAATCTTTTGGGTGGTGGTTTGAGAGACGTGTCGAGGCACATCAAATGGCCATATCGTCCCATGCTCTTGACCACATGGAAGCCGCCACGTCACATCATCATCATTTGGATAGGCAAGAGCCATACTGACCAAAGACAAAAATGAGTATGTTCCCTTCCTTGGGTCACGTCTCAGAACAACCGGGTAAAGCGACTCGTTCAAAAGAAATATTGAATCATCCCCTATCTCATATTCCTTTTCCTTCAGCGAAATCAGTATATGGCCATGGAGTCCCTTATTGATGACTATAAAGTGCTGACCATTTTGGGGGTTTTTAGTCACACTGTCCATAGGGGAAATATCACATAATTTGACCGCAAAAATACTCAGCGACCCGTCTGAACCAATCTCTACCTCTTGATCAAGCCCTACCGGCAACTTCTCTGGGTTATGAAACTCAAAAGGGTATAAAATCAGTACAGACTTTGATTCTCCAATTTCAATTTGGTCATCAGTATCGTTGACCCATGTAGTTATGTCGAATGAATTGTCTACCTGTAGACGCTGGGAGTAATCGGGAACCCAAGAAGGTAAGTTTAATCGATGTTCATCGGCTCCCAGTAGGTCAAATAATCGGAAGCTAAGGTGGTTCTGCAAAAGGTATGCAGTTATTCCGGTATAAACGACCTCTACAGGGAGACTGTAATCGATGCTAATTCCAGTCTCACCTAGAAGTCCAAGTATTGCATAGATTTTGTCTCGGGGATCTAGGCATTCATGAGTTAAGGCGTGGCGTAAGATGATATAATAATTTTTGTCTATCAGCCTTGTCCATGCATCTCTATTGAATAATAGAAGTGAAGCGCAGCGCCGTATGCCGTTCGGCATGGAGGGCCAATATGGCCACGGTATCGAACGGT